AGAGCACTGACTGCTCTTCCACAGGTCCTGAGTTCAATTCCCAGCAACCGCATGTTAGCTCTCAACTATCTGTAATGAGATCTGGCGCCCTCTTCTGGCCTGCAGGCATTCATGCAGACAGAACACTGTATACATAATAGATCTTAAAAAAATTTTTTTTCTCAAGTACCTTATCCTGTTTTTCAGACACAGGCTTTAACAAAAGAGTTGGGGCTTGGGGTTTAGCCCACACTTCAATCCTGTATAAAACTGGATGTGTTGGTAAATACCTGACATCCTAGCACTGGGGGAGAAGATAAGGCAGAAGTATCAGAAGTTCAGGGTCATCCTCCACAGAAAAATTTCCAGTGAGAAATATTTTTGAAATAAACTCCCTTCATTGACTTCTCTTCCTCCCTTACCTATTTCCTCTCAATTCATTACTTATTTTTTCTTTTCCCAACTCATTATTTCAGAAGAAAAACTTTTTACTATATACTCACAGCAATGCTAACTTTTCCTAAAATTTGCTCAGGAATTCTTCCAGCTTTCTTCAGAACTTGATCCAAGGACCCACCATCCTTAAGGACAAGAATACAGACCAGTTAGTGATAATGTTTCTACCATATCAACTATCAAACTTCAGAAGAAAGTGACTCTCATATGTAATATGCCTCCTTAACAGATTAGAGATAAACATCCTTCAGTTTGATCCAGCTATCAAAAAACTGAGGCTGGCTTCAAATTATGATCAAACAAAATCCTCTGAGCTTCTTTAAACAAATGACAGTGGTCATAAAAAAGGTGTGCTTTGCACTGACTGACAGCATGAGATAGTGTCAGCTGTGCAGGCTCTGTAGTCAACCTGCCAAAAGTTTAAACACTAACTCTGCCACTTACTATTTACTGGACTCTAAACAGGTTCTGCAACTTGTAAAATGCTGTGAATAATTATGAGGCTACTAGCTGGGCATTGGTGGCCCACGCCTTTAATCCCAGCACCAGCACTCGGGAGGCAGAGGCAGGCGGATCTCTGTGAGTTCGAG